ATAACAGAATTCCTTCACAAATGCTTAGAGTGACTTTTTCAGCTAGGGATGTAAAGAATAAAAATGTTGATAGGAAAAGCAGGTGATCTATAGAGTGCAAAGTTGAGGGCTCATATCTTGTTGGAATCGCAAGTCTAACAGGAATAGGGTAAATTACTTTTTCAAGCCTATCACCTTAGAAAAGAGCTTGAAAGCTTGCTTTGGGTATGCAAAGGATCAAGCCACACATCGTGGAAAGAAGGTCGCAATCAAAGCAAGGTGCCAAAACCAACAGCTTGAATAGTGATATCTGCATGGATTGAGATCCCAGGCAGGTGGGGTAGTTGATTAGTATCAAGGTGAAGAGGCAGCCACACTTCATGTGTATTTATTTTTACCTCTCAGCGATGATATAGTAGTCTGATACCAGCAAAATTTGTCAAAGTCTGATATAGGAATGACAACTTGATGAATAGGAAATGTGTGAATTTTCTAAATCCCAAGTTATTGCCTTATTTAAAAATATGTGTTTCTTCACAGGGCACTGTCATGTTTGTGAGTCTAGCTAGTTTGGCAGGATTTAAGTTCAAAGCTCTTGATTTTCCCAGATTCTGTGTATGACGAGTTTTTGTGAGGGCTGTGTGGTGTGAGGTCAAAAAGAAGACCATCTAAGCCACAAAGCACAGGGCACTACGTGAACCAGGATAATGAGCTTATAGAGAAATTGTGTTATGTTGGATTCCATTTAGCAGGGGTGAAAATAGGCTCAATTGACTGTGTCATCGAAATATGGACTTTTCTGATGCATGCAAAAATCATGATGCATTAGGAAGAAATGGAATATTGAGTAAACACCAAAGCAGCAGCTTGGTAATCTTTAGAGTTTGTGAACTGCCCAAGCAGCTCTTTCAGCTCTGCTAACTCAATAGGCAAACTATGGAAAGTAGTGAAACTACTGGATTATAAGCTAATAAAATTAATAGAGAGACCATTGAGGTCAACTTCTGCACTGCAACCACAGAACTCAAGAAGATTTACAGAACCCAGTCAAACTTTTAAGTGAGAGCTTCAGGCCTCTCGCTCACCTTTGCTCAATAACCATCTAAAAAGCTGATTGAATAAGGTTTAATTCCTACAGTGAAAAAAAGTCACCCATATTTAAGGGCTATATAGAGGCACAGAGGAGCAAAAAGAGGATTTAGATTGGGTAGATCACCTTCATTTTGGCACAAGATATAACTGCATATGTAACTTCAGAAGAGTTAGTGCGTGTTACTGATATGGTTTTTTCAAACAGGCATTTTTTAAAATTAAAAACAAGCTAAAAAAAAATCCCAAAACTTGATAAGCAGGACTATTTACAGGTAGCAGGTATCTTTTATTTATGTGTTCAAGATGGGATGATTTGAAAGAAGTCATATTCTATTACTCAGAGAGGTATTGATAAATGAATGACTGAAATGAGAGCAGAACTGAGCAATATGTGGAAGGAGTTGCTTTTCCACAGGCACAACAGGAAATATATTCAGTGATTAAGAAATTACGTAGAATTTTTCTCTATTATTTAACTTGCTTACATGATTAAAACCCATAAACTTCTTGGTTGTAATAAATAGTCTGTTCCATCCATCACAACTGTTAGGGGAAAAATTGGTCTTACACATTTTCAGAATTTTTTATCAGTTTTTAGGTTTTAAGGTTTGAGTTATAAATTTTTTTCCCCTTGTGAATGTGCCCCATTACTACACATCGTAATTTTGGGTTAAAAGTGGTCTCAATAATTTTCTTTTGATCAAAGGTAATTCTTTCAGTACTGTTTCCAAACTAGATCTGAACAGTGTGCTGGGCACATGAAAGGAACTTCAGCTTCTTGTTCAGAAAGAATTTTTCAAGGACTGCAGGCTGTGCAATCACTTTGTGATCTAAGCTGTATTGCAGTTTGGGTTTTTTTAAAGAATTGCTTTAACAAGCAATTAGTGGTTATGTAATGTTGCCATCACTGAAACCTACTATGGTATCTACACTGATTATTTAATTCACTTCCTGTTTACCTCCAGAGTTCTAGCTTCTAAATTACTGGACCATAAATCATTTAGTTCCCAGGGTTTAGCATGTAAGAAGCCAGATAGTTTCCTTTGCTAGAAACCTCAGGAATAGGACAAATGAGAGGTGTATTCAAAAGAAAAGAAGAAAAAAAAATATTTTAAAAGTTAAAAGAATAAAAAGACCCATTGGCATAACTGGTCTGGCTTTCTATTAGCTAAGTTTTAGGCTGATGTCACCATTTGGGCTGAGGAAAAGAAGAGCGGTTTGATTGAGGAATGAGAGATCCTCATGTACATCTAAATCCTACCTCTGGCACTGTTTGGTCAGTGGGATTCTGCAGGGGCCCAGGGTGGTGGGGCAATGATGAACATGAAAGTGCATCAGGAAAAAAAAATGTGGGGTTAAGAAGCACTGGTCCCAGAAGTCTCAGTGAGGACTTCTGACTGTGCAAACATCATCTGCTCTGTTAGAGTTCATATTTTATGAAAGGAACGTGGCCCTACTGTACTCTGTGAAGGGCTCTCACATCATTGCAGGAGGGCCAGGATCTGAGATGGATGCTTAAACCCAGTGTGACAACCTGTAAGGGCCTCTCACTATGAGCACCGCTGTGTTCTCTGCAATGGTTGCGTGGGGACAGAGGATGGGGCTGTCACACATCTACTTTGCTGTACAGAATAATAACCAGCTGTAGTTGTAGCTGTAAGAAAGGAAGCAACACTTTCGATATTCCCTTGTAGAAAGGGAAGGTTTTATGAGAGGTGGGAATAGGACATAGGCCTCATGATTCACCAGCCAGACTAGCTGAGGTAAGATGTTTTATTTAAAAGGCCAAGTCATTTACTCCCCACTCTGAAAAAGGAGAGCTGCGCATTCTAGGTGAGCAATAATTAAATCCTTTTCTTTCTGGGATGGTTGCTTCTCGGGGAATAGCTCCTATGAAGAAAATGGACCCTGTGCCACTATTACTGCCCAGCTCAGCCTCATTTTGCCCGGTGCCAGACTGCTTTGGCAATAAACAGGGACAGATCTTGGCTTGCCTCAACTTCTGTGGGAGCTCAGGGTTCGTATGGGATGCTCTCAACACCTCGTTCTCAGATCCTATTGCATTTTTACTGCCATCCTTCAGTCTCCATGGCAACCCTCACTGCAGCACACCCTCCTATGCATTGCATATGTGCAGCATCACAGCTTTTTATTTAGTTTTTTTGGGTTTTCATTTCTGTGGTGAATTTTTGTTGTGTTTTTCTACGTAAATAGTTACTTTAATAGAGACGATGAGCCCGCTGTGTTGCCAGAATAACTCTTGGGTAGTCCTTTCTGGGTCTAAATCATGCACTGATAATCAAGCCTCTTTTTCCCTCACTAGTTTCCCGAGGTTAGGTTACAAATGCATGTTGGTAGTGCTCATGGTACAGCACTGGTGTTTGCACTGCTAAATCTACATAAAAACCAAGGACAATTAGGATGTATGCAGTCATGCACGATCATTTTTGGAGCCATTGTACAATATTTATGCTCCTTTATGCTTCATCTGTTCCGAATTCCATGTCTCGTTCAGCTGGAGCCCCGTTGAAAGCGCTGTGCAGAGGGTAAGGCCGTTATTGTGCAGTTTATTCAGGACAGCATGAATTTTGCAATATTGCTACTGACTTCAAATCTTCATGAACGATATCTACATGAGTGCAGTTCTCCAGTACCCATCATGCACTGTCGAGGATTAAAAGAATATCATAGGGCAGCCTGAAGCAACCAACATCTGCTCTTGGACATCTCATATTAGCAGTGACATTCCCCACAGGAAATCACTTCTGTTCTGCTGGTGGGATTTGTTCTCTCTGGTTCCTAAAAATTGCTTTTGCAAGAGCAGAGAGGAAAAGAACCGGGAAAAGAAAAATAACAAGTAGAAGGAAAATAAAAAAAAAATAATGATAATAAAAAAATAAAAAGTAATTAAACAGGAAAAACAAAATAAAAACAATAAAAGAAAAACCAT